CTACGCGGTCATTTGCTTGCCGATTTATCTTATTAAATTGTTTCAACAATCTCATTCTGTGATTACACATGTAACAAACAGAAAAGCAAAGGAAATTTTTCATTAATAAATTCAGTACAGATGTAGTCATTTTATATATGAAAATTACCTTACATTTTTAACTTCTAACTGAAGTAAATAAACAAAAATCTACAAAAACTATACATGGAAGATTCTTAACAAAAATCAAGTTATCACGTTAATTAATCTTCAAGGTTAGACTCGAGCAGCTCAACGTCCACCTGCTCATATGGAATTGGTTGGGCCAATGTCACATTAGCGGCAGTGAGGGCTTTGAGCCAGCTGTGTTTGAAGCCCCGATTCTTGAACTTGGGCAGTTCTTCAGCGTAGTCCTCCAGGGCGGCGTCCTTTCTAGCTTGGAACGCTTTGGAAATCTCGGAGTCGGCTACTTCCTTCGCCTTCTTCGACTCTTCCAAATTGGCTTCCACTTTGGCAATCACCTCATGGGCTAACTTAAGTGCGTCTTCGCTCGCGTTTGCCCTCTCTTCGGTGGCCAACCTGAGCTGGTCGGAACTTTTTACCTTTGCCAACTTGGCGTCGGCCCTTGCACTTTCCTCTGCCGTTTTCGCCGCTTCGTAATTAGTTCTTTAAAAGGCCTCTGCGGCCTTGCTCTTCTCATTTTCAATTTCTGCTTTCAGAAAGCCAATTTGTTCAATAGCATCGTACTGACGGTGGCTGATCTCGGCTATCCTTCCCATCATCTGCAAAACAAGGAATTAGAATAAAAATAAAAATATAAGTGAAAAACGGCAGATAAGGATCAAGTCATGTACCAATATGGCCGATTAAGCAGCTCATGCTATTGCCAGCAAATCTGGCTCCGCCTGAAAAGTTGCCCTGTCAGCCGGCAAGGAAATTGAGGAAGCCATGCTCAATGCCACGGCTGGATTTTTCAGAGCCGATGCATCAGAAGAAATCGACACATTTTTTGTCCTTAGTTGAACAACGAATGACATAACCGAGTCCGACTCCTTTATGCGCGGCCGTTTATCGGTAGGGCTTTCCTCAGGGCCGACTTCGCACTCGGAGGGACGCTTCTCTTCCCTCTACTCGGCCTCCTAACTCAAACGTTCGACTATCTGCTCCATCTCGGCCGTCTCAATTTAAGCCGTTTCTTCCACGATAACAGGCGAAGAAGACTCAATCACGGCAACAGGTTCATAACGTATAGTCTCGGCCCTCTTCCGAGAGGCCATCCGTTCGGCGTTTTTCCTCCTTGCCAGCTGTGTAAGCGATTCCCCAGCCATGTTCTCAGGATACGAGCCGGGGAGATCCCCTAAATCAGTAAAAATGTCTTTAAATGAGACGTCCCCTCGACCTGAAGTGGATGAAGGGTTGGATGGATTAAGGCCGGCTTCTTCAAAAGCCAAATTTAGAGCCTCGTCAACTTTTTCGGCTTCCAAAGTGGACTGACTCAGCTGCTCGGCGACTTCCTCGGCTTGCTCCGAATCATAAGCTTCCAAACCAATCTGCCTAAGGCTTTTGAAGGGGGGAAGATAAGGGTCGTGAGCTGCTGTTCACCTCGTGGAATCGGAATGTTGTCCGCGGTCGAAAATATTGTGTAAGTCGGCTTATACGTCAGAAGTATATGGGCCGCCCTCCCTTGCTTCTGGATGTTTAGACGGCCAAAGAACTGGAGTGCAGTTTTGATTTTCGCAAGCACAGCGTCGTCGGCCGAAACCAGAACTTTCTTCAAATCGTTGCCTGCACAAATAAAACGATAAGTACATAGAAGGAAAGCCAAGTAAATATAAAGTACATAAACGTAAGGAACTATACGGCCACCTGATTCGCCTTTCTGCCTAGGTACAGGATCTAGGTGATCTTCGCCTTCGCCGAATTCCCAGTCACCTCGGACAACGACCATGACATCATTAACTCGCTTGCCAGAGCTGGAAAGCATAGTCACAAAGTGATGGTCGGTGTCCTTGGCCCTGAGAAAATAGCGCCCCTGCCAGCCAGAAGATTTGGCCAAGGCATAATAATACCGAATAACAGGTATGCCAAGATTGATCCTAAGGCGTTGATTCAACTCTATAATCCCCATTATGATTCAGAAAAAATTTACATTAAGTTGAGAAGGGATTAGACCCCAATGGCGAAGGACGACCCTAAGAAATGAGTGAAGGGGGAAACGGACACCGCCCTCAGCAATTGATAGGAGAGAAAAGATAATTGTATTTTCATCAGTCATCTCCATATCTAGGGTGCTGTCTGCCACAAGTAATAGATGGACATCGTTGGGGATGGAAGAATGGTATCGACAACCAGAAATTCGATCCGCAGAAAGGAGGTCTTTCAAATGTTTTGCCATCCTAGTTAGTCTAAGGAGTATGCTAAACTAAAAACAAACAAGGAAATGGGATTCGAAATGAAGGAGAAAAGAACTTACAAGAAGTAGAGGAGACAATGAGAAACGGAAGGAAGTTGTAGAGGTCGCGAAATGGAGGAGGTCTACTGAAAGGCAGACCTGAAGCTTTGAGTATTCAAAAAATATACATTCGAAAGGACAACATGGTTTCAAATTGCATTAAATAAAGGAAGCGTATGAAGGGGCGGAAAGATGTAATGATGCCTAAAAAACGTATGTACTGACACACATTGGAATGAGGCTAACCGCCATTTTTTCTTTGACTTTTCAAGTTCAAGTTCGAAAACAAACACGCCGTTCGAAACTAAACATGCCGTCTAACTGGTGTTAATAGGATGTTTGGGGGGCAATTGTGAGCACCGGATAATGTTGATGTATATGCGAGAAAGCCGAATAACAGGTTTGAGGATAATTAGGATAAATATTGTATTCGGTTCTGTCCTGGACGATCCCAAAGCCAAATAAACTAATCGGCCGTAGAACCAGTTGAACAAAAGTCGAATAAACAAACGTGCAATAGATTAAGAGTGGGCCCGATCCTGGGGTCCAAAAGAAGATATAAATAGAGAAACATCAGCAAGAGAAAGATATGTGAGAAAAGGACCTAAGAAACTTAAGACGTAAGTAAACGAGAGACATATACTAACTTGTCCGTCGGAGTGCTAATTCCGGCACCCCCGACTGGAGTATTAATTGCTTTTTCAGGTGGCATTCAGAGGATCAAGAGCGTCCTTCAAGATCCAAGAGTTTTTCCGAATCACATCTTTACATCATACATATACAATGTATTTAAACATAGTCATATTCAATGACAATTAACAATAGATTAGTTCCAATTTACCTAATTCTCATGTAATTTCTACAACAATCATAGTTATCCTCCACCGATAGCCCAATACATATATTTCTAAAGAGATATAACAATTTCCCAACAGATATATTATTCAAATTTCCATAGGTGAGAGACAACACGTGTCAAACTCCACCATCTACATGAACAACCATCAAATTTTACATTACCATTATTAATTTCAATTATTAATACAAAAGAACAACTTGACCCATTTAGGGAAAAACTCCAATTTTTTCAAATATCAACCCAAGTTTCAAAATTCAACAATTTTAACATAATACAACCTCATCTACAAACTCCATAACCATTTATTTTTCATTCATCAAAAACCCTCTTTTATTTCACATCCAAACCTTAGGTTTATTCAAACTACTCCCAAATCCCACAATTGTTACCCAACGACAAATAACTAAGCTAAAGACTATATGAAAATGTAGAAAATCCCTACCTCAAAGAGAGAAGATGAGCCAAGCAATAGTGAAGCTTTAAAGATGTCCAAATCCAACTCTAATTGGATCAAAATGGAGATCTTGAGATGGGTTACCTTTTTATCAAAGGGATTAGGGTGAAAAAATCACTAGAACTAGGTGAAAATGTAAAGAGATAGAGAGTATTTTAGAGAAAGAGGGTTCCAGCTTTAGGTTTTATGAAGAAAAGATTTGAAAAAGTGATGTAGAAAGTCATTTTCAGGATCTGATATACACACAATCCGATATAGCGTCAGACACAAAAAGTTGTTCCCCTCGAGTGTAAGAAAGAACACTCGAGTGCCAAGACACAATGAACGAGACGCTCACCGCTCAAGCGCAAGAAGTGACGCTCAAGCATAGAAAACACATATCTAGTAGTTTTGCAGACAACAGACCAATACTCGAGCGCAATAAAGGCCGCTCGAGCGCCCACCCGCTCAAGCGTAGGAATCACTTTCTTAGTAGTTTTGCAGACCTGCAAAGGTACTGAGAGTTTGTAAAGCCCGCTCGAGCGCAGGAAGTGCTGCTCGAGCGGAAGACTAAAATTCTAAGCAACACAAGGTTTCAAAAACAAGCGACCAACCTGCTCAAATACAACCACAACAACCCAAAATCTAATTTCCAAAAGATACAAGGGATGAATGAGGCAAACAATAATATGAAAGCATTAAACCCGAGTCCGAAACACCACAAGAGTCGGGTCAAAATCGGGATTGCTATATTAAAAATATTCACTAAAAACAAAAAAAAAAAACGAAAAATAAAAAACTCAATTTTCAAAAAATTGAATTAAAAAAACTGAAACTAAACACACTGATTAAGTCTAATAGCTTGTTTGGGAAGATATTTTGAGCTAACAAGACAAAATATGCTATTTTAGTCAAATATGACAAAAAGTCACATCAAACTCATAATCATTTCATTTTTTCTCTTATAAAAGCCAAAAAAGTGAAAAAAAAAAAAATATTCCAAATTAGACTTTTTAATTCTAAACTAAAATAACTAAGGTCTCATTAGGGAATTAAGCATTTTAGTCAAAAAAAAAATTATTATAAATTATCATATTACTCGTCCTACTTTTATATATATATTTTTATAAAAATAAAAAAATAAAAAATTATTAAAATAATACATCCCCAAACCAAACGAGATCTTAAAAAAAAAAACAAAAACAAAAAGCCAATCAAATACTCTCTCGACTGGAAAAAACCAAACTCTCTATATATTTGTATGATCTAGAATAGAATAGAATATAAACGATATAAAAATCAAAATCTGAATACAAAATACAAAATGAAACGGTACAACATGCATTCGGACAACCCACAAGACCAAGCCACCTCTTCCGCCTCTCCAATGGCGTCACTGTCTTCTCTTTTCCTCTCCAACCCTCGCTCTCTCCGCCTTCCAAACCCTAATCCTAACCCTAACCCTCAAATTCACCTCCCTCTTAGAAGCCAAACCCTAACTTTCTCCTCAAACTCCTCCCAAATCTCCACTGATTCTCCACCGCCACCTCCTCCGCCGCCGGAGAAGAAATCGTTCGCGGTGGCCACCGGCGAGCTCTTCCTAGGAATTGCAACGCGAATTATAAAGAGAAGGAATGGGATTGATGGTGGGGACTCGAATTCGGTCCCGATTACGATGTTTAGGGATTCGGAGAGAGAGTCGTATTTTTGGAGGAGGACGAAGGAGGGGATTGCGTCGGTGGTGGAGGACCCGGTGCAGCCGGAGGTGGTTTGGGAGCAGAGGTTGAAGGATGTGGAGGCGGAGAGGTGTCGGAAGGCGGTGACGAGCCCTGGGTTTAGCTTCTCTGCTGCTGGGCTTCTGTTTCCATACCATCTTGGTGTTGCTCAATTTCTTATCGAGAAGGGTTACATAAAGGTTGGAATTTTTTGAATTCTTGGTTTCTTTGTCAGTTGTTTCGGTTATAAAGTTAGGATTGTGTGTATATATGTGGTGATGGGTTATTTTGTATTATCTAAAGCTTCACAGAACCTGCCACTATATGAGCTTTTGAAATTGATGCTCACAGAGTAGTGTTCTGATCAACTATGTTACATAGACAGTTAAAAATAAGACAAATACGATGAAATTCTTATATATTTGTATTCAACACCACCTTTATATGCAGAGACAGAACCAGCATTTCATGGTCGGAGGGGCCAAAAGGCAAATAATTTTTTTATACCATATACATATGCATGCTGTATGTACAATATAATATATAAATTATGTATATGGACAAAAAAAATTCAAACATCATAGAAGTAATTTTTAATAGGATGAAATTTTTTTGGTGCAAAATAAAAAAAGAGCGCAAGATAGGAGAAAAATGAGATATTTATTTTTTACACTGGGGCCATTTTATGTATAAAATGAGATATATTTTTAAAATACCATGACAAACCATATTTTTCATAGAAATAGAGGGGCCATAGTTTTATCCTAGTTCCGTCCTGATTATATGTATATATATATATGGCTGTATAATTGTCATAAAACAAGTGAAATTATTGTTTTACATTGTATGGTACATATAATACCATTTTATCTCACATAATAGAATAAAAGTATAAAAATATGATTTTTTTTTCTTTTTCTTTTTCTGTTTTGTTGAGTCCCCATACTCTTAAGTTTGAGGTTTGATGGGTCCAAACTCTAGACACGTACCCACACTTGACACCCGTATCGAGTACATTAACATTGCTTATCAATGTTTATCTTAGGTTTGGGGACAACCTTGAACGGCCAAAGAAAACATGGTAGAATAGGAAAATTGAATCCAAGTGACCTTTTTCTTTTCCAATTCCATGAGCTAATGATATCCAATTTTCATCAGAAGCAGTTAGTCTATTTAGCAAATTAGCACTGAAGTAAACAGGGGCAGGGGTTCCCTTGTCCAAGACCCCTTTTTGAATCAACTTCCTGCTTTGCCATTGATTATAGCAGTGAAGTTTTATTTTAAGACTTTAATTTCTCTCAAAGCCTTTCTTTAAGAAGATAAAATCAAGTAACTTGCACTCCCTAAGTGTGTATGGAGAATTTGTCAGCCTTCTGAAGCCACTTGAGAAGCAGGGGTACCTCATGCAGTCCTACACACCCTCCTTATCACCATACAAATGCTAGTCACATGAGTAGTGGGTTTGAAATTATTGGTAGACTGGCACTGATCTTCATTTTCTGGTCTTCACTGTATCATATTGGGAATGAATAGAAATTGTAAGCAAGGCCTTTTGCAATAATTACTTATTTGCAGTTTTTTTTTAGGGGTTTGTGCAGTCTGTTATGTGGTTGAGACTTTTGACCTTGTCATTCACTGCAGTTATTGTAATCTTGTTATTATATAAATAAATTAGAATTGAAGATTTTATATCTGATGTGGTCTAAAATTTCCTTGGGTAAGATTTGGGTAATTCTTGAGCGTGCGATAAGCGTGGAAATTTTCTAGGTTAAAGTTTGCTTGGCTAGTCCTTTGAGGATTATGTCAGTAACTTAGAGAGTTATACATGTTTGTATGTTGAAGAAAATATGATTTTTTTCTATTGCTCATTCTTTTATCGTTTGCTGATGATGCTACTTTCAATTATAAGATGTTGATCAGGATTTTAGAGGACTTTAATAGGTTCTACATTGATTCAAACTTAGCATGTAGCATAAGAAGTTTATTTAGTTGACGCTGCCTTCTAATGACTTGTGAAAATTTGAACTTATTAAAATTAGATGCATTTTTCTTTTGCTTCTTTCTGGCTTCTTCGTATACCTGTATAAATAAATTTTCATTTGCGTTTCATTTATGTAGTTCATTTTTACAGGAGGAACCAGAATTTCTAAACTTTAGTTATAGTGTTTCTTAATGGAAGTATTTCTTTTTGACATAGGACACCACACCGTTAGCTGGTTCATCTGCTGGTGCTATTGTTTGTGCAGTGATTGCGTCAGGAGCCAGTATGGAAGAGGCTTTAAAAGCTACCAAAATATTGGCTGAAGATTGCAGGCTGAGAGGGACTGCATTTCGCCTAGGGGTATGTGTGTACTCTATTACGCTCTATGCATGGATGAGTAAACATGATTCTTGAGATAGATTTTTTTTATAAAATTGAGCAGTATAGCAAGGTACGAAGGTACAGAATACTAAGATGCAAGTATGAGCAAAAATTAATTGCTTTTCAGTATCATCCTTTAAGCCTTTTTTTTTTTTTTTTTTTTTTTTTTTTTTTTTTTTTTTTTTTTTTATCATTTTCTGGTTGCTTGGTTGATAATATCAGCCTTGTTATAGGCATGGAGTGTAGTAATGAACAAATCTGGTTAATGAGTAAAGTAGCAGAAAATGTTTCAGAGTGCAAGATTTGGCATCTTTAAATGAGGCATTATGAGACTGAAACTTGTAGAAAAGGAAGAGTAACCACTTACTGTGTTGTTCTTGTCTTTAAATGGAGATTTAATTATTTAACGTGTTCAATATTTCTGTGTCCAGGCTGTTCTAAAAGATGTTCTTGACAAGTTTCTGCCAGATGACGTACATTTTCGATCCAATGGGAGGGTTCGCGGTGAGAATAATTCTTCTTTCCCTCAGTGTGCACATATTGACTGCATACACATACACTACGGAATGATATAGTGACCTGTGCACAAAGGATCTTTAAACCATGCTTTAATTTCACGTTATAAAACTGAGAAGAAAGAAGGATGACAGTCCTTGTTAGCATGCTTTTAACCCGACATTATGGTGTTCTGAACTAGGATTCTTTGACAGTTGTGTAGTTGTGAGTTTTTATCCATTTATAACAGAAGATGACTCCTAGCTAGTATAACAGTTAAAAAAAAATTTCTTTAAACTTCTCCATGCATTTGACCCTTCCTAAAGCTGATTTATGTGTGGTATGGAGTATTGAACATAAGATGCACCCTGCCACTTTGAATAATTTATTTGAATGTATTTTTGTATGCAGCCCCTCAATTGTTTGATATTGTTGTTTCCTCACAGTTGCTGTAACACAGATCCTTTGGAGGCCTAGAGGCTTGTTGGTTGATCAATTTGACTCTAAAGAAGACCTTATCAATGCAGTCTTTACTTCATCCTTTATTCCGGGGTACACATTTCTGTATTTCAAGTACTTCATACCTGGATTTATGATGAGTATATATATTACCAAACCCACATTTTTTTAAAATTTATTTCTCAAGTCCAAGTCCTTTTCAACTTATTTACCAAATTCAAGTTGTTTTTGAAGTCATGTTTCCAATGCATGATTTTAATGTACAACTGCATTTTGAAAATATTTAAAAATAACTGAAAGTGAAGCCGTATATTGATTTCAGTAAGGATGCTATCTATTCCTTCTACGTTTCACAACTGCACTGAAGTTGTGATCAATCCATGATCTCTATGGTCAAAACATTGCCTAACATAAAGGCGCCAACTACTTCAATCCATACCATATGGACCAAATCTGATGTTTGATATTGTTGTTTCCTCACACTCCTTCCTCCTTACACAGCACACGGAACCTGCGCACACCCCTCGCCTTTCCCACACTGTATAAAAGCTACCTATAACACCTCTCTTCACATGCTGTACCACCTGATTGTCATCTATGCTAGACAATACAAGTCCCAGAGAGAGAACTAGATATTTGAAATTGAGAGCTTAGAAAGAGAAAAAACTGAAGGGTTATGTATGAACAGCCAAACATTTGCCTTTCTGCCATGGCAGTAAAGTTGATTTTTAGAGAGAAGAAAAAATAAGCATTGGAAAGTGTTTCTGTTATATATAACATATATACACACTTCTGTTGGCATATTATAATCACCGAAAGGCACTTAGCATATTATATTAGCCGAAAGTCACTAGGATCTGTAATCATTTTTATGCACTCAGGGATCATCTTGTAATTGTGTTCCTTGTAAACCCTAATCTTCATTTATAAATAAGGGGTGATATCTCATCATACCCTAAGCTGGTTACTCAAGCTTCATGGTATCAGAGCAGAACCTATAGGGTTTCGGCTCACCCTCGTTGGTAGACCTTTTCACCAACAACACTCTAGGGTTCGAAGCTTACCTGGGTGGATCATCTCTCAGCCGTCTTCCTCAGTCGATCTCCTCAGCTCGTCTTCCTCAGTCGATTTCCTCACCTCGTCGATCTCCTCGCCTTCCTCTGTCAATCGTCACTCAGCCGTCAGCTCCTCAGCTTGGCGATCTCCTCCAGCCATTTCGTCGCTCGTCTTCTTCGTCACTTGTCTTCCTCAGCCTCTGATCTCACTGTGGTATATATAAATATATATATATACATATATATCCTGATATATATATAAATATAGCCTGATATACATATATTTATATATAAAGACATGTATACATAAATAAATCAATTTAAAAAAAATAAATAAATAAATTAATTAATTAAAAAAAAAAAAAAATCGTTTCTTAATTTTGTTATGTCTTTATAGTGGTCATTGTGCCTGTTATCTCACTACCACCTTCCGGGTTTGTGATTTCCACTAGTTTGTTGCGGGTTTGGTAGTATTGTATCCATGACAGATTCCACTAGTGTGTCCCCTTCGTCTCAAACACCAAAAAGTGAGAGTTTCATTCTACCTACTACCATGACTGAGAACCCCAACCCTAGTCTGAAAATCACCACCGGAAGATGGGGTATGTTGATGGCAGGATACAGGCACCTAGTACCACTGACTCAGGTTATGACCAATGGGAGATTACCAACTCTTTGATTATGAGTTGGCTTATCCATTCGATGGTTCCAGAACTTGGTGAGAACTACTTATCTATGAAGACTGCCCAGGACGTTTGGGAGGCTGTGGTTGTTACCTATTCCCGCAAAGGGAATTTTTCACAGGCATTTGAGTTGCGCTGCTCTATTGAGAGCTCACTTCAGGGGGAGCAGACTGTTCTTCAGTACTTCACTTTTCTCACCAACGGCTGGAAACGTCTTGACCACCTGGAAGACTATAAACCCGTTTGCCCTACTGATTCTGTCGGGTACAAGAAGTTCATCGCACGGGAACGGGTCTTTAAATTTTTGGCCGGCCTAAATATGGAGTATGATCCAGTTAGGGGTCGAGTTCTGAGTATATATTCCTTGGAACAAACAAATGTGAAATCCTAGATGTGAAAGCTCTATGGTTTTTAGACAGTCTTTGATAGGAGAGGTAATTTGCAATAGGATGTTTAATGCAATTTCGGACACCTTTCCTAATTGCTATAGGAACATCAAGGTCGGAAATAGAAGGAATAGGATGAC